ACCACCAAAAGAAAAAAAAGAGTTAATATTCAGGGACTAGAAGTGTGGCTCAAGTGGTAGAATGCCTGTCTAGCAAGTATGAAGTCCTGAGCTCAAAACCCCCCAAAACGTTCAGTGAAGTAGTTTAACATTCAAGGAAAATACTCAAAAGATTTCTATTATTCTTAGTTTCCAAGTAAGACAAGCCATTATAGTTAACAAGGGGTAGAATTAGGCATCAATCTACTAAAAGATTGATTTCTTGGCTACTCTCCTAAATGTACCTTAAACAGAAATTTGTATTCATCTATAACAACTTTGCTAGATTTGTAATTATCATACCTGAGTAACACTTTTGTAAAAAAGTCTTTGTAATAGTTCTACTGTTTTTCCAGCCTTGATAATGACTACAATTCTACCAGCTTTTCTTTTGTATAATGATGTCTTACCCACAGGTTCAATGGTATTTCTGGTAAGTTCCATACAAGCACTCCCTACTCCCTCAGCCCTATTCTTATACAAGGTATCTCTTACTATGAGTTTGAAACCAATGATAAGTAGAGAAAAATTTATAAAATGATAGAATAGCATCAATAAAATTCTATTTTGATAAATACTCAAGATATAATCTACAAAAACTCTGCATACAAGAACAATTAAAGCACTATTTCTTGACCCAAAACATAATCATAGAAGTTGCTGGTGGAGTGGCTCAAGTGGTAGAGTGCCTGCCTAAGCAAGCATGGGGCCCTGAGTTCAAGCCCAGTACCACCCAAAATTAATAATAATAATAATAATAATAATAGAAGCCATATGGTATAAAAATGTTTTAATATCAACTCATTCATAGCACAAAATTAAAAAGCTTAAAGGTCTATATTCAAACAGCTACATGGTAATTTTCAAACTGGGATCTAAAAAAGTCTCAAAGACAATCTTCTGTGTTCTCATTTCTGTTACCTTACAAAAATTAATATAACCACACATTGAATCAGCTTAATAACAACCTTAAAATGAAGAACTTCCAAGTTATGCCATTGCCTGCATTTGTAAAGTTGGCACTACTACTTGTCACAGAAAGCTTTGACCATGTACATGACCTACTATGTGAAGGCCAAACATGACCTCATGACAGGTGCTATATAAATGAAAGTTTTGCAGTAGTAGAACAGAAGAAAAAATAAATAAACTGAGAAAAGTGGTAAGATAACTAAGTCCTCATCTTACACATCAGAGTATATGCATGTCAAACTTACAAAGAATCTACACCCTAACAGTATCATTCTCACATTGTAAGTAGTGACCTCCCTTTAGTAAGGCAGTATCAAATTAAATTAATTTTAATTAGATTGTACTGCTTTATGTTTGTAGTTAATTTGAAATTTCAGGGCTAGAGGCATGGCTCAAGCAGTAGAGTACCTGCCTCACAAGAACAAAGCCTTGAGTTCAAACCCCAGTACTACCCCCAACAAAGAAATCTTCTTTTGGATGTATAGTTTGTTCTGTTCTGTTTTGTTTTGTTTGGTTTGGTTTGCAAGGGAGTCTTGCTATATAGCCCAGGCTGGCCTAGAACTCATGATCCTCCTACCTCATTCTCTCAAGTGCTGGGATTACAGGTATGCTCCCTCCCATTCCTGACTTGGATAAATAGTTTTACAAAAATATAAATCTAAGAAATTTACATCTGGCTTTATATTTGCCCACATTAAATAACATGATATAATATTCAAACACCAGCATTTAGGGCCCAAATTTACTCACATTTATTAACTGATTTTTACAACCGTACAGTATCCAGATAAGCTGCTATAATTAACTACACCTTATATGATATAATATAAAACCTTCAATCTTCTTTCAGCAATTAACCCCCTGCTTGGCAATCTCTTAGTACTTAGTTCATACTAAAGCATACCGGAGTAAATAAAGAATCTGAAAGATTCTCCTCCATTAATTGGTATCATCAAATATCTACTGAACACCTCTTACAGGCCAAGAAGAGGGGATTAAGAGGCTCAACAGCCCCTCTAGCTGCCCTTCAGGCTGAAAAGACATGAAAAAAAAAAATACTGCAAGCTAACATACAAGTTTAGAATGACTACGGGAAACCCAACTTCCATAGGAGTTGAAAGGACAGAGAAGATTTTAAGTTGTCTTTTCCCATCTTCAAACTACCCTAATTACAATTTCCTGATACCCACAGAGAAGCAGGGATAATAGGAAAAACAGAAGAAAAGGTAAAAGAAATGTTCTAGATGGAGTTAATTTATCAAAAAGAGGGGAACTAATATTTCTTGAGTAACTTCTATATATAAGGTGTATGTATAGTAGAGATGCTACATTACCTTAACACAGTTATTTTGATGAGATTTTACACCTACTTTTAAGGTGAGGAAACAGAGTTTTAAAAAAATTAAGAAAATAAAGGAAATTAAGTATTACCCTAGATTATACAGCTAGTTAGGAGGAGTGTAGAGCCCGGACCCAAATCATGGTCAGCCTGGCTCTAAAACTTTTCTACTCTAATATGCTGCCTCTCAAATCATATTTGAAAGCTTGGAAAGTGCCTGTGGGGCTTTGCACATATACTATGGCAAACATATTATCAATGAAATACATTTTCATTTTATCCTCAAGAACTTCATAATCTCAAAAGGAAGATGAATTATACAATAATGTTATTATTAAGAAAAATGATGGGCTGGAGGCATGGCTGAAGTGATAAAGCACCTGCCTAGCAAGTGCAAGGCCCTGAGTTCAAATCCCAGAGAGAGAGGTGACAATGATATATGTAAAGTCCACCCTGTTCCTGGCAAAAAGAAATGCTCAAATGTTCATTGTTAGTATTATTATTATACAGAAGAGTATTGTATGGACTATAAGGAAGTGGAAAATACAGCAGAGACTAAGAAAGTAAGAGACTGTGTTTTACTATAGTGACAGGAAAAGAATGGAAAGAGGATTGCACTGAGGGCCATGAATGGTAAGAATCTGACAGGTGAATATGTGGATTGGGGATGGTAAAGAACTGGAGAGCACAGCATTAATAAAAAAGCATGTAAAGACCTCTATGTGGAGTATCAGATACATGACACATGTAGGAATAGGAACTAGAAAGGTAAGCTGGGGTCAAATAAAGAGAGCTTGAAATCTCTTGGTAAGTTTTACTTCATCCTACAAGCAAATGTAAACCATCAGAGGTTTTTCACAGTTACAGATGCCTTGAGATCATTAATGACAGTTGCTCATTTAAAGGATGAAAAAAAATATAAATTCAGGAGTATTAGTCAGGAAGGTACCAAAAATAGAACTGACAAAATATACCAAAACCTAAACTAGGGTGGTAGCCAAGATACCCAAAATGAGGGGACAGATGTAAGCAGTTCTGTAAGAGAAGGCACTCAAATTGAGCAGGTTACAAGTTATGATCTAAAAAGACTCTCAGCTTTCAAACTCAAATCATTGAGAGAATAAGGCAGCCATTAACAGAAGAGTCAAATAAAGATACATGTTTGTGGAAGACAGAGACGACAAGCTTAGTCTTAGCCATGCTGAGGTGGAATTCCACACAGACATCTAGTCGGTAAAATTCAAAAGGAAAACAGGACTAGAACTTCATATTGAAAGATTTATAAAGATTAGGAGAACAAGAGGAATTTTCGCTCAATCTATGAAAATGGCAGGGGTTGCTAGAGGGTGAAGGAATAAGGTCACAATCTTAAAGGAAACAACATACAGAGTGAGTGTGCAACATTAACTTCAGGAGAGAGAAAGGAATAGTTTTTTTCTACGAAATATGTAAAGCAGAAAAATACAGTGTGAGTAAAGTCACTAAGAACTGTTAAAGAAGAAAATAGATCTTTTGCTATAAAGTGAGAACAGGTTTTAGTTAGATGCTAAATGCAAAGAAAATAGCCCACTGCCAGGATTCTATTGGAATTCAAGAAGAAATCAATCAACTAAGTGGCCAAGAAAAATGGAAAAGTAGAGCTCAGACCAACATGAGAAAAGAAAGGTTCAGAAGAAGTAAAATAGTAGAAGAGGATGAACGTTAAGAAAATTCTTATGGAAAATACTATTTAATATTTGAGGTGGTGCAGTTCTTAGTAATGATTAGGCCAACACATAGTTTAATGGCTAAAGTAGAAATGAAGTTCAAAGGAAAAGGAGGACATGCATATACAATAAGGTAAGAAAATGTTAAATTGAAAATCAGTACCATCTAAGCTTACTCATATATACACACAAAAATACACACTTTATAAGATTTTTGAAATCAAATAAAAATAATGAAAGAAAAGGACCTAGTACTGTAGTAAATAATAGGATATATTTTAATAAGTAGGTTCTACCACTACCAAATCTCCTCTCCCCATTCCCTTTTAGAAGACATATGCATGAGTGCCCACCTCACAGTGCCTAATAGATACTATGTTATACATTTCAAAGTATTCAATAAACAGCAGTGGAAAAAGCAATCTGCCAACTATTTATTCCTTCAACTATTTCTTCATTTAACTGACAATTACTGAGCACGAGTGGAGTATCAGGCACTGGGAGAGGGAATAGCAGGAATAGTTGTATTAGTTCTTACTATAGGTACTCATTATTTCAATCAATCTATACTTAATTGTCAAAATGACTCTATGAAGTAGGAATTTTTGTTATCCCCATCTTATAGATGAGGACATTGGAACTCAGAGACAGTAAGTTGAATGTTACTGGTTAAATGTAAGTGGGGACACTGGAACACAAGGCCAGACCTTATGGCTCTGAAGTGCTTTACCATACTTCATTCACTATCTCCTAGAAAAGAATCTTTTTCCATGCCAATGAAGATTTAATTCTGTATTTTTACATGTCCTACCTTCTCCATTTATTAAGTTTAGGAAAAAATATAAAGACCACTTTCATATTACAGTATTTCAAACTATCAAAGCTATTACCTTTTTTCCCTATTATTCCCAAAGACTCATAAACCTTTTCTTATCAAAACCCAATTTTGATGCTAAAATTAGACCAAATTTGGTATCTGACCTTAAGGAGTTTATATCTTTACTAGATATGTGGGAGTTCTATGTACTTTAAAAGATAAAAAAGAATAATATGGCAATGACTTAATGAATTGTACAATGATTATGGCATTCAAAGGAAGGAGACTGATCACTTTGAGGGTGGGGATTTGGGGGAAAAGGGTCTCTCCACTGAAGAGGTCATTTCTAAGCTATGTTTTGAAGAAAAAGGCCAAAGATATTTCAGAAAGCAAAAACATTATAAAGAAATGTAGAGGCCAGAAATTTTTTTGAAAAAATGTTAGATTGGAAAGCAAGTAAACAACAGCATTTGGGCAGGTTTACATAAATGTACAGTTGTTGAAATGTAGAAGGGTAGAAGAGTAGGCTGAAAACAGATCATAGAAAAACTTAATGTTAATCTAACCAACCATGGGGAAATCTCACCTCCACATTCAGTCTAATAAGATGATCAAAATAACCATCTTCTTCTAACTGGAGCACAAATTTGCTGAAATGATGCTATTATATATGAAACTACCTAAAGTTAAAAGAAACCTACAGACACCATGAAACTGTTTTAAAAAAAACTTAAGAGTAACTTATACATCTCCTATTTCAACTCTGTATTAATTACTTACATTCCCTTAATAGCCACATCCTCAAATGATGTTCTTTTAAGTCTCTACTTGAACCCCTTTAAGTGATTGGAGCTCACCATCTAGCAGTAGCTGTGATATCCTATACCACCTTATCTAATCAAGTCAATTCCTAAAGTAGAGAAAAGGGATTACAAAACATCCATGATCTACAATTCAATCCTTTAAACCAAAATAAAACAAAATCCACAAATATAAGCTCTTTCATTGGAGAATGAAGCATAAACACGTATCTTCTATATGAGTAAAAGACATCTGTTGCTTCTGTTGCCCAGCATCTTTTTATCCCTTTCTGACTTTATTGGGGATGGGGGGGGAGGTAGATACATCTTCTACCCTATTAAGCAATGTGTTTCTGGTGAAGCCAATAACATCTCTCAGGTCCAGTGTAGATAAATGACTAAGAAATTGTGATTCGTTAGGACTGGACACAGACTGAAGCTATTCCTGAAATTGCTGCAACCATCTTACTACCACAAAGGGAAAAAACCTATTTGAAAATGAAGTCAACTCAGAAGAAATAGCACCTAGAAACAGAGATGCGGGATCTGAGTCCTTTTAACATTATTTAAGTGCCTTCTTCAAATCATACCCTAACTAATTGGGCTTTTGCTCTCCCTGAACCATTTTGTGTTGAGTTTTCTTTCACTTTTATCCTACTTAGTATCGCTATACTAATGGAACATACAATATCCTTTCTATATAATAGCTGTATATAATACATACATATAATAATTAAATCCTACAACAGGAAAATGAGGTCAATTTCTCAGCACTTAACCATCATATGTAATTTCATAATTTTATTTTATCACTAACTCACTATTGACACTAAATACAAAAGACGAATCTGGCATGCTTTCACGTAGCATTTCACTTTCAACACTGCCATACACTGTCTTCTTTCTAGACAAAAATCAATATTTTACCTAACAAAGTAGAAGAAAATAAATGACTATAACTTTACTATGATAACACTGAAAGGCAAAAATAAACAACTCAGTTACCTTTAAAAAAATAGAAAAGAGGCAAAAGAAAAACAAATTACCCCCAAAATTAATGAACTATACAGAAACCATGTAAAGACTCTTACTTGAAGCTGGAGAGTATGTCGAAGAATTGTTTCTTCTAAGGCATGGATCCACTTCTCTCGCTCATCAGCATCACGAGCTGAAAAAGATTTCAGGTGTTTGATTTTGTCATTTCCTTAATAGGTTTACCTTGATCTATCTTATCTAAGCATCTAATACCTAACAGATCTAAGTACAAATGTAATATACTTGGAACACTTTGTTACAAAGGGAATAATTGTTCTTTATAAGTATGTTACATAGCTCAGACCAAACTTTCACACTGAGAACAATTACAAATGCTGGATTGATTATTAGGGAAAAAAATGGTTTCTTAACTGATTTTAAAATGTGCTACATGTATACAATGGAATGCTAGTCAGCCACTACAAAAATTAAATCCTGCCATTTTCAACAACATGGAAAAAACTAGAAATCACATATTAAGTGAAATAAGTCAGGCACAGAAAGACACGTACCACACGATCTCACTCACACATACAATCTTAAAAAGTTGGTCCCGTAAAAGTTGAGAGTAGAATGTGGGTTGCGAGAGGCTGAGGAGAGTAGGGAAGGGGGAGGGGTGGGGTAAGGCAGATCAATGGGTACTAAGTTACAGTTAGATAGGAGCAAGAAGGGCTGGGGTGCAACTGCACACTGGGTGACTATAGATAATAATGTACTGACTGTACATTTCAAAAGGCCAGAAGAGAGGATTTTGAAAGTTTTTACCATAAACAAATGATTAATGTTTAAAGAGATAGGTATGTTTAATCTGATTTAAACATTACAGATTGTGTACATATATCAAAACACCACATTTCAGCTGACAAAGTGGCTCAGATAGTAAAGAACCCTGCATAGCAAGAACAAGGCCCCGAGCTGAACCCTAGTATTCCCCCCAAAAAAGTCATGTTAGCCCACAGGTATAATTTTATGTTTTTACGTATCAGTTTAAAATAAGTTTAACTTAAATGAAAAAAAAAAAAAAAACACCTGATTGAAAGCATCAGAAACTTCTGAACAAGGTAGTAAAGAATTACCAGGCCAAGATCTGGAAGATAAACCTGGTCTCTAGGACCACTTACAGACATTATAAATCCCAGGAGAAGAGTTATAGACTGACTGGACAATACACTTAAGACCTGTCAGGGTAAAGGGACAGGGACACATGAAATGTCTTTCTGGTAAATTTTGCTAATGAACCTAAAACTACTCTAAATATAAAGTCTATTTAAAGAATAAAAAATTGTTTTCAGGCCAAAAGTTGAAGACCAGGGTCCACTAACAGAAGGGCCTCTGGCCATGTTTTGATCAGGACCCCAGATGCATTCACTTTGGGATTAAGGATACACCAGAATTAAAATAACAATTTTTGATGGTCCAAAAATCTTGATGTCTTAAAATGGACTGAAAAGAACTCAGATTGTTAATAACTCCAGGCATGTAACTAGAAAAAGCCTATCAAAATTTTCTCTTAGGATGATAACCTCATCTTGGTTGCTGAATTGTATTTCTTTAAACAAATTTTCAAATTCAATGTTTTGCACATCAGCAAATATAACAAAGTACATAAGTGCAGACACATCTGAAGATAAAACTATACATAACTGAGAACCAAAAGACAGTAGATACAAATCAACAGGAGCTCCAGTTGTTTTTTGTTTTCAGACAGGCTCTCACTATGAAGCCCAGGCTGGCCTCAAACTTGAAATCTTCCTGCCTCAGCTTCCAGAGTGCTGGTATTATAGTTGTGTACCATCACACCCAGCCAGATTATTTTATAAATGACAAAAATGTTTTCCATTTAGATTTGGGGAAGGATGGTACTGGGGTTTGAACTCAAGGCCTTGTAGTTGCTAGGCAATGCCCTACCATTTGAGCCACACCCCAAGCCCTTTTTTGAAGTTATTTTTCAAGTAGGGTCTCACATTTTTGCCCAAGGCCTGCCTCAAACCATGATCCTCCTACCTATAGCCTCCCCCACATGCTACCACACCTAGTTTGTTTGTTGATGTGGGATCTTGCTAACTTTTATGCTGGGGCTGATCTTGAACCATGATCCTCCCATCTCTACCTACACTAAGTAGCTAGGATTACAGATGTGAGCCACCACACCCTGCTCATTTCAATTTTTTTTTCAGTACTGGGGTTTGAATTCAGGGCTTTGCACTTGCTAGGCACCCTAGCACTTGAACTACACCAATAGCCCTCATTAAGATTTTTCTAAATAACCAAATGTAAGTACTCAAATTAAAAAAACATAATAATCAAAATTAAGAAACCAGTGGATGAATTTAACATCAGATTAAATACAATTAATGTCATGAGAAAACTCCCTGTTTAGCTATCTTAAACAAACAAAAATGTCAGTTTTTTCTTTCTTTTTTACAAAATTGGAGAACAGGTCCTGTCTAGGGGGTTTGTACCAGTGGGAGGATGAAAGAATGTGGTGAAAGGGTATAAGAGGGTGAGTATGGTACAAATAGTGTGTATATATGCAAATGGAAAAATGAGACCTGTTGAAACTATTCCAGGAATGAGGGAAGGAGGATACAGAAGAATGATAGAGGGGGTTGAATTCAACTATTCAATATATTGTAAGAACTTTTGTAAATGCCACAATAAATAATTTTTAAAAAGAAGAGTCAATTAGAGAACTGAAAGAGATGTTGTAAGAGACTGATCAGAATAACAGACAGTGAGTCAAAGGGATAGAAAATATAGAAGACAAGGTAAGCAACATATATGGTGAGAAAATGTAACATGCAAGTGACTGGAATACCAGAAAAAGACAAAAGAGGATCGAACAGAAGTACGACCTGGCTGAGAATTTTCCAAAACTAATGAGAGACATTAAGCCACACATTTCAGAACCCCTAGGAATCTCACTCAGGTTATTTACTACATCATTTTTTTAATAACTACAAAATACTGAAAGCATTCTAAATACCCTTACAGAGGGAAGTGGTTGAATGAGCAATAGAATACTATGTAAGAATAGGGGTGATTTCTTCAGAGTGATTTCCAGATATACTGTTAAATGAAAAAAGCAAAGTATGCTACCTTTAGTGAAAGAAATGAGACAAAAGGAAATATATAATTATTTGCTTATTAGTATAAAAGAAATATAAGAATAAAATAGAAATTAAAGAAAATGCTTACCTACAAACAATAAGCAGAAAAGGACAGAAAGCCAGGAAAAACAAAACAGGTTAGTAGGGTTTAGGAGGTAGAAACACTTTCTGAATATATCTTTTTGTATCTATTCAGACTCTTAGAATATTTGCATACCTCTCATAAATTAATTAAAATCAGCCAGGATTGTAAGGAGGGACCAAAAACAGAATACAGAAATGCCATTTCCTAGCTCTCATTTTGGAAGCTGTGACACCAAATAGCAATAGCTATACCTATCAACAGAATTTCTAAATATTCTCCATTAAAAAGAACCAACACTCTTTAGAAAAATGGTTGATCCCAGAACTAGACCACAGATGGTACAAAGTTAACCGGGAAAATGTTTTTTTTCTGCCAGGAATTAATGAAATACACAAAGAATGATAAAGACATGTCAAAAGGATACATAAGTGAGTTTAAATGGGATTCCACTGACCAACATGAGCATCTAAATAATAATAGTAGCAAATTATGAGTCCTTGAGTAGAACAGGAAGCCAATGGGTTCCAAATTTTGTCTGTGACCCCTAGTAAGGAATATATTGTATTACATGACCCAGTTCACATAAACACACATGTATACATGACACATGCATGTATACATATAAAACCAGAATATTAGTTTCACAAAACAATTCTTGATCTCAAAACATGCCATACACACTGATATCCTCTCTGTTGTATTTTACTTTTTAAAAAATACTGATTTGGGCACATTAAACAGAATTAATGATCTACTAGTGAACTGCAGTCCAGTTTGGAAAAGGGTGCTATAAGATACCCCAATGTCCCACAAAACTAAGAGGACTGATTCCTAGGTCCAAACCCGGGTCTGTGTCCTAGATTTGCCCTTATTCACTATGATCTCAGCTAGTTAAACTCTCTAAGCTTTAATTTTCTCATCTACAGTCTAAGGATGTTAACATTGCCTATAAGAATGATAATAGTACCTAAAGTTAATACAGTTGTGAGGTTTAAGTAATAATTATTATTAATCTGTATAATATATTTACCACAGTGCCTAACATATGCTAAAAAATCAAGATATTATTATCATACACAGCCTTAAGACAAAACAGGTTCTAATAATCCAATGAACAATTAACAAAGAAATTAGGGACAGGATTATTTGTAACACCTACTTTCCAATAGGGACTGGTTTATATAAGATACACATAAGAAAAACAGATGTCACTCTTCCGATGTAATCCTTATAAACCAAACCACAAGGAAATTTGAAGATAAGGTTCCAGATTCCTATACCTTACCATTCCTGATCTACTATTTAGGAATCTATCCTCCTAAAGTCATATTTTCTTCTTCTTTAAAGCATACTACAACTATGAAAATATTACTGCTTATTTGCAAAAGGAAGAGGTATTTACCTGCTCTGTAACTGAAGTAAAAAGAACTAATGTCTATAATCAGGAAGGCCTCTTTTTCCTCTGAAAATTATTGAGAAATGAAAACATTACACAAAAACCATGTTTACAAGATTAACTGCAGGGGTACAGCTCGGTATCTACTGAGAACCAAATGCATGAGTTACTATGTTTGGGACGTGTGTAAGGGCAAGACAATCCATGATCTCAAGTAACTAACAGTCTCCTGGAAAGTACAATACTTGGCTAGGTAGTAATTGTTTAATGCGGTGTTACCTTCATCTACTCTAACAGCCTCTAATAGCTTTGTTTATTAGAATTCTATTTATTCATCTGGGCTATAATAAAATGTCACCTTCTCTGTGTATGTACCTTGAGATGAATGGACCTGCTCTCCCCTTCCATAAATTCAAATATTCCATTACTCAGATACTATAGAAATACACATGCCATGTACCAGCACTGTCCTAAGCTGTAGGGACACAAATTTGAGCAACAGTTTATAGCTCTAGTTCAATAATAACCACAGTCCACATTTA